AAATACTACATCAACGACAGGCACAAACACTACATCAACGATAGGCACAAATACTACATCAGTGTCTAGTAGTACGTCAGAGACTACATCAGCGACTGGAATGACATCTACAACAGTCAATACTGCATCGACCAACACGTTAGTCGCAACAACAGCAGAAACAGCAACAACAACATCATCGACAACATCAACAACAACAACATCATCGACAACATCATCAACAACAACATCATCGACAACAACATCAACAACAACATCATCGACAACATCAACAACAACAACAACAACAACAACAACAACAACAACAACAACAACAACAACAACAACAACAACAACAAAAACAACAACAACAACAACAACAAAAACAACAACAACAACAAAAACAACAACAACACGCACAAGCACAAGCACAAGCACAACCACCACTATGACACCAAGTGAGCTATTATTGCTGCGAATCTAATCACTTATTCGTTATGTTTATTGTAGTATCGAATTGCACAACAGTTGGGGTAGGAAATGCGATGAACCTGACTGGAGATAATCCATCTGTTTGGACTCCATATCAATACAACTTCACGGCGACGAATACATCGCATTACGTCATGTTTGGATTTGAAAATTCTAATAACCGTGGTTACTATCTGGACTCAGTATCTGTCGTTGATCAAAACGCACCAAATATTGAGTTGCTGAGGAACCCAAGTTTTGAAAGCTCAGACGCAACACCAATAGATTGGGTAGTTTTGTGTCCATACACGTGTGGCAACAATGCAGGCGGAATGGCAACTGGTTCCAACTGCCTTAACAATACGGGTATTTGCTATAAAGATACATGCCGTAATGGTATCGATTTTCTTGCTCAAACATTTGCGACATTAATCGGCAACAAATACACACTCTCATTTTGGCTCAAAGTAGGTGACACTGGTCACTCTACAGCAAACACAATATACGTCGACATTATCTAAGTACTATGTATTGGGTATGAGTGAGTGTGGGTTTCAGGTGAATAGGAGTGAAGAAAACCGCTACACACGTTTCGCTCACATCTACATCATCGTATTAAACTTTTGATGATTGATGATCATTCGGAAGTAATGATTCGGAACTTTTCATTAACTTTGCAGCCATTAAATATTGTTCATCGATCTTCCGAACCATCTTGACAATACCAGATTGCACTTCTTGTCTAAGCATACATTTTGAGTTTTTCTCCCTTACAATTCAAGATCAACTCGTTTTTCTTCGACATAATATAATCTTTCTCATGCGATGGTAAATTCCGATTACCAGAAAATTGAAATGAAATTTCAATAAGAAAAATTTCCTGGAAATTCAATTGAATGCCTTTGAAAGTAATCACATACTACCAGTTGTCTTATTTTAAAGAGAGGTAAAAATGAGGTTGAGGTTCCAAACTAGTAGCGGGTTGGGTTGGGTTGGAAAATTCATTTTTATTTGTAAATATATATCTATATTCATCGGGAGTGGATTATATTGGGTCAGAAAATTTATGTTATTACACACTGTTTTCAAAAGCTTCATTAGGGTATTGGTGTGGGCATTGGATGACGGATATGAATTACAAAATAATCCGGAACAATTGAAAAAGTAACCGGGGACTATTATTATGTTTATCCTTTTTCATATTCATAAGATACCAGGGATCAACAGGGATCACAAAACAGTACAACGGACCACCAGCGACTAACAATATCTAGCAGATAGCGCATAACACAAGAAGTGTTTAAATCAAGTTCTGAGAAAGAACACTCAGACACCACATGTTTAAGTGTGGGTGCCACAGAAGAATTCTTGAGGGTGTGGGTGTAGATGTATGGGGTGCATGTGTGGGATGTGTGTGTGGATGAAGTTGAGAGTATTGGTGTGATATGGCTTGTAGATTTTGGTGCGATGATGGGTTCTAGTTTGCATGGGGACGTTATGCTCGGTACGTTTAGATTTTGATTAATAGATGTTGGTAACGTCTTGGATGACCAAACGTCGGGCAGTAACTACTTGCAGAAGCTGGCAGGCAAGTTATGGGTGTGAGCTAAAATTGAATTCTGAACTTAAGTTTACCCTATGGCAACCTTAATAAATGTACATATTATCTATAATTACTTGTAAGAGAAAATGAATTTCCCAACCCAACTCAACAACTCTATTTGCTACCTATGCATATTCATATACAGACAAAGAATTGATACTGATATATAAACGACTCACACATTAGATATTAAAATGTATGTTATGAATTCATAGAAACCAAAAGAATAAACATCGTTTGTATACTCATCTTCATCTACGTGTTACAAATTTATTATAGTATGTAGTGCATTTTGAATTTTCGGGAAATAGGAATTTACCATGCCCTCATCTTTCTTTTTTTCGAAATTGATTTGTTCGACGTTTAGTTTTGATCAACATTCTTGAAACATCTGAAGAAAATTATGATTTTTGTTATTATAGAACTAAACGAAAAGTCTTATTGTTTTATATGAAAGATGTCGCTGATTAAAGATCATGGTTTTACATCAATTCATATATAAGAAGCATTGATATGTTGTCATTGATTCCCGTTATTTTAAGTATTCTATTTGATTTTCACTCTTTGTCATCAAATGGTAAAAAACAAAAAAAAAATGCGTTTTCTAGTTCTGTCGTAGTGTATATACTAATAGGATATAGGAGCCAGTCCATATAAGCCACGACCGACTTCATAGAGACCCTGCTCAATCAATGTCGTCAGATTTTTCTCAATTTAAGATATGTTATAGAGGGAAGAGTTTTATGATTTTTGACGCAAGCCGATTCAAAAAATATTGATCACTCGGTTTTTTATGAGCATTTTATAAAAAGCCTAAAAATGACCATATATGTCAGGACCTGACCTCTATTGTCATTCCTGTTGTCTTTCCACTCGATATATGATATGTCGTCGTTTTTCTTTTTTTGTTGTTTGTTATAACTTTTTCACTTTAAGAAAATAAACTATAAT